CCGTGTTTTTTTTTTTTTTTTTGCCTTCACGCCGCACCGGATTTCGATCGCATTTTGGACGGGATTCCTCGGACTCGTCGCGCGCGTGAGCGTTTCGTGCGTGGAGGATGCTGTTCCATCTTCTCGCATCCAGACGCGATGCGCTTCCTTTACAGTACCGCAGTACCGTTGCAGTACCGCTTTAATTTGTTCTTCCCTTGTTCGAACTTGAACCGTACATCCACCAGGTTGAGGATAATTTATGTAATTTTTAATGATAAATTTTTTTTTCTAGTAATGCTGCATGCTCGCAAACGCGCCATCATTAATTGTGACACTTACCATCAATGGTACAGAGCGATTCAAATTATGTATACATTATTTTGAATCACCCTGCGCATATATAACTGCAAAATTGGCGCAAAAAAAAAAAAGCGCCACACCGCCGAACGACCCGACATTGCTCCAAGTCGTGAAGCAGCGAAACTCGACCGCAACAGACGACGCGACTAAACGTCGGAGAAGAGCGATGCGATCCGGCCGCTGGCCAAGCCGTGCAACCGACTCCGAAGAGTAAGGATTTCAAGGGAGAAGAATGAAGGGCTTCCTTTCCCTGAAACCTCCGCTCTTTCCTCGTCCAGCCATGGATTGTGGATGGATCTTTCGGGCACGGATGCCCACCAGAGCTCAACTTCTTCACATCCGGCCGGTTCGAGGTTGTCTGCTCTGAGATTCCGTTTTCCGCAGGACGCTTTTTGCGCCGGCTGCCTTCTTACGGCGGGAGCTTTCTCTGGCGGATGGAACCTGGATCTGTGGCGATTTCGAAGCTGCGGTTAAGCGGTTAAGCTTAAGCTTAAGTTGCGGTTTCTTTCAATCGACAGCCTTTTTCAGTTATACTCTTAAATTTTCTTCTAGCTTATTTCGGCTCCAGTGGGATTTCCGAGAAAGATCTCTCCACGCCGAAGGTTTGAGGCAGGACCGTGCCCTTCAAGATCCTGCCATTCTTTCAGATCCCAAAAACTCCTTTCCTTCCATTCTTCTCTTTTGAAATTCGTTACTTTTTGGAGTCGGTTAGCCGGATCACTCTCCCGCAGGTTGTTCGTGCTGGACGGAGATTCCGAGGGCTTCGGGAACCAAACCCTGAAGGAGCTCGAAGGCGGCGCGTTCGGCGATGCCACCTTCGAGGCCATCCTCCTCCAGGAGACGGAGGTGGAGGCGATCCACTTCGCCGCCCTCCTGCCCTCCAAGGACCGGCTGGAGGCTCTGGCCGTGAGGCGGAGAGGGCGGGAGGCGGAGGGAGGGCTGAGGCGGTTCCCCTTCCGCGAGCTCTACCGCCTCCCGCGGCTCGCGGAACTCGTGCTCCGCGGCAACAACTTCTCCATCGTGCTCGCGTTCGCGAGTCCGAGCCTGCAGCGGCTGGACCTCGAGGGCAACGGGATCGCCCGGCTCGGGTCCGGCTGGTCCATGCCCAACTTGAGTGATCTCCTCTTGAGTGAGTTTGTGCGTTAATTATTTCAAAGTTCTTATATACATATAAGTATTTATTATTATATATTCCTTTTTTTTGCATTTCACCGCGTCCTTAGAGGATCTGTTCCAACGTTTGCGAAAGTTTTGGATTTGCAAAATGCTCACGGACAATGTAACTCTTGTTGATTATCACGAACTTGCACAAACTACAAACTACAGGATTAAATTTCAATCTTAAATAGAATGATTTTGATTCATGGAATTAAATAGATGGAATTAAATAGATTTAATTAAATAGATGGAATTAAATAGATGGAATTAAATAGATGGAATTAAATAGATGGAATTCATAATATGAAGATCTCCCACCCAGGCGAGAACCCTCTCAAGCGCCTCCCTCGCGGGTTCCTCGAGGGCTTCCCCAAGCTGTCGCGATTCGCGTGCCGCGGGTGCGAGCTGGGCCCTCTCCTCCGGGCCGGGGCCATCAACCTCCGCAGTCCGGCCATCCGCTGGGTGGGGCTCAAGGGGAACCTCATCGAACGGGTGGAGCCCGGGGCCATCTCAGGTGAGCAATTCGAAGGCGGTTCGATGGTGGTGCAACGATGGTTTAACAGGGGTTTGAAAGTGGTTTGAAGGAGGTTTAAAGGTGGTTTAAAGGTGGTTTGAAGGAAGTTTGAAGGAGGTTTAAAGGTAGTTTAAAGAAGGTTTAAAGGTGGTTTGAAGGAGGTTTAAACGTGATTTGAAGGTGATTTGACCCGAGCCCATCTCGGGGTTATTTCTGAAAAGAATGAATTTGATTTCTGACCTGTTGCTTTGTTTATATGGGCTACATTTTAGGCTTTGAACAGTAGATGCATAATAAATGTGTGGATTTTCAGCAGAAGGAGTACACAGGGAGCTTAAGTACCTCGTGCGGCGGGGAAAAAAGATTGAGTTTTCTTTTTAAAGAAAAATTAAGGGGCGAAATGAAACGCCATGGGGGTTAAAGGTGGTTTAATCCGTTGGTTAATACATGAATTCCGAAGTTCGTGTGCACCGAAATTGCAATTGATGCTTTTTTCAAAAATTTTTCTTTCCATTTTGTTTGACATTAAGGCAAATTTACCATTACCAAAGATAATAAGTACAAGGTGGGTGAACATTTTTATCTAAAACTTTTTTTCTAACCCAAACCATAAACTTATGAATCTAAAATTTGTTGCAGTGCGCCTGTTATGGAAGAGTCCCGTTGGCCCGAGCCAATGGGTTAACGGCCAATGGGTTAACGGCCAATGGGTTAAGGGCCAATGTGTTAACGGCCAATGGGTTAACGGTTAACCGAAATTGGATATTCAGATTGACCAAAGTCCTTTCTTTTCGCCCTAAAATATTATAATTCACCATAATTTATCACTTTAAACCTCTGGATTGGAAAACTTCCTGAGTTTTTGTCCCGTTGCAACCGACGGTGAAAATAAAAACGTTTTTTGCAAGATACAAGCTAACTTTCGCCTCGACATATATACTAAGCGAGAGCATTTTGCGCGAGCAAAAAATGTCGCCGCCGGCCCTTCGGTCCCGATTTCAACACTTTCAACTTTTTCTTCTTGCGAGGGCACCAAGTTTATGAACCTCATCGCGTTCATATCGCATATTTGACAGTTTGCTGGGAGTTCACAACGTTTCACGAAAAAGTAGGTGACGTCCCGCTAACTTCTCAGTTAGCTCTCAGTTAGCTCTCAGTTAGCTCTCAGTTAGCTTCTCAGTTAGCTTTCTCTCAGTCAGAAGTTAGCTCGGCTTAAATGTTGGATAAATGTGCGCTCAGATCCACAAAGACATTTCAGAATCATTTCCTGAAAATGTTTTTAAGGTACCTGATGCAACGGCTAAGAGGTAATTGATGCTACGGTTTCATGGTAGTTGATGCAATGTTCTTCAGGTAACTGATGCAACGGTCTCCTTTTAAGTTCCCGTCCCGCTTGCCTTTCGCCCGTTACAACAACGGCTTGGACGCCGCAAAACGAGGAAACGTTTCGCGAAAGGCAGTTCGGTTCCGCAGCCGGCAATCGGCCAGGAAAGGCATCAACTCCATCCCCATGGAGCAAAATTGATTCCAGAAAACTCAATCCGTCTAAGTTCTGCTAATTCACTCGTCAATCGATTACATGCCACTGCTCCGGTTTGCTACCCTGTGCACTTTTTTGCGGCGAAATTTTTTTGCACGACTCAACACATCTGCCAATTCCTCATCGTGCCAATTTCCTCTCCCGCCCCCCTCACGGCACACCGCAAATCCGCTTCCTCGCAAATTCTCGCCCACTTTTGCCTTTTTCCCTCCGCGCTTTATCTCGATGAAACAACGGCGGAATCGAGCAATAGTGCAAAAAACGTTTGTCGCCATACTCCAGATGTCGTTCGATTGACCTCGATGGCACGAAGGAGAATCAATTACCCTCGCATCCTTCAACCATATTCAGCATGAAGTACCGTCTTCAGCATGAAGTACCTCGATTAATTTTGAAATTTCCTCCGTTTTTCCCTTTTTCGACCCCCTTCCCCCCCCCTCCCCCCCCCCCCCCCCCCCCCCCCCCCCCGAGAGCAACGTGGAAGTTTCCATTCCGACGTAAAAATCCAGCACGACTTCCGGCAACCGTGTGGGATGGAACTCACATCCGGCAACCGTGGCAGGAGTGGCTGGCGCGCAGTCAGAAAAAGTCACCAATTTCATTTTTCACAGCGAAAAGCATCGCCGACAACAAAAAGGACGCAGAACTTATCTCACCCTGCAGTTTCCATCTTTATTTCGGTATGAATGAAAACATTTTAATTTAAATATTTGATTTTAAAAGGGAAGATGCAAGGGAAAATATACCTGTTCGCGCCAGCAGCCTCCAGCCTCTCACCGGCAAACCTGCCGTTGCAAAAGACGAATCGCTCCTCGGACTTTCCTTATTCAGAGACATGGCCCTTCGACGCACGAGGAGTGACGAGAGAGGATGCGGACGAGAGAGAGAGAGAGAGAGGGAGAGAGAGGGAGAGAGAGGGAGAGAGAGGGAGAGAGAGGGAGAGAGAAGAGCTTAGAAAGGCGAGGGTGAGAGAGAGAGAGAGAGAGGGAGAGAGAGGGAGAGAGAGGGAGAGAGAGGGAGAGAGAGGGAGAGATAAGAGCTTAGAAAGGCGAGGGTCCATTTCCTCGAGGCAGAAGGGAAAGGAGGCCATCACGGAACGGAGGCTAAATCTAATCGTACCCCTCGCCTCGTAACCAAAAGCAGAAGGAGGAAGGGATGAAGAGGGAGGGAAGGAAGGAGGGAGGGAGGGAGGAGGAAGAGAGGGAGGGAGGGAAGAGAAGGAGAGGGCGGAGGATGTGATGTCTAACGTGGGGCGACAGAAGCATGAGGCAAAAAGGCATGAGCCTAACCAGGGCGAGTCTAAACGACCTCGTCCCTCCTGGACACCTCGCTGCCGCGTTTCGAGGAGCGACCGCGAGGCCGTCGGCGGGGAATCCCGATTCCACTCGACGCGGGATTCGCCGATTCCCCAGAGACGGCCGCGATGTTGCCCGGGATTCTCCTCGAGCGTGAACGCGCGACTCACCGGTCGCCCTCGATCACGCCGGATTCCGCCCGGCCGTCGCTGCGGAGGAGGTCGTCTCCCTCCTCCCTTGCTGCAGAACGGCCGTTCTCCCCTCCTCGGCCTTGACACCTACGACACGAACTCTTCAAGTTGAAAACAATTTTTAGTTCAAGGTGCCATGAGGTGGGGTGGGGTGCCATGGGATGGGGTGGGATGGGGTGGGGTGACGTGGGGTGGGGTACCGTGGAGTAAGTCAAAATGCCACATTCTCCGGGGAACCCTGCAATGAGGAAGGCCCAGCACGATCTGGAAAAGAATTCCTACGGAAAAACATAAAAGTTGAATGTAACTTGCTTGCGATGTTCTGGTCCCCAGAGGCCCAAATCCGGAATCCACGACCCATTCCGCATTCAAGCCGCGCGCGAGAGAAAACCGGCATGAAACATCCGTCATGTCGTGCCCATGTCGTGCCCATGTCACGCCCATGTCGCGCCCATGTCGCGCCCGACGTGACTAAGTCGTAACGATCGAGGGGAATTCTCGTTCCAGGCGTGACGGCCTCGACCAGCATCGACCTCAGCGCGAACCCGGTGAAACTGGAGGAGGCCTTCCGACCGATACTGGAGGTGCTTCAGCGCGGAGACGGCTACCTCAATCTTAGGAGCGCGCAATACATTCGAGGTATTTTCATCACTCTTTTCACGCCTCTTCACACTTCTTCACACCTCTCTTCACACCTCTTCACACCTCTTCACACCTCTTTACACCTTTTACACATCGTTTTCACATTTTTTTTTTCCTCTTTTCCTCCACCCATTCCAGAGGAGGCCACCTCGGTGAAATGCCTCTGCGACCTGGCCTGGCTGTTCCTCAGGCCTCGCCTCTGGCGGCGGGTCGTATTCCCGTATTTCGGTGCCTGCGAGGGCGGGCCCGCGCTGGGCGACCTGCAGCCGGATTTCTTCCGGGACTGTCCGGCCGTGAACGACACCGAACTGTGAGACCGACTTTAATTTATTATTATTATTATTTAATTTTCATGCTTGAATGCACCACATTTACGGTACAAATTCGTTTTCATATTTGAATTTACCGATTTTACTATCGAAAAATAATTTAATGTTTAAATTTACAAAATTTACTATTGGAATTTATTTTAATATTTAAGTCCACCAACCTTCTCATCCGCCATCCTGGCAAAACGACGAAATTTCAGAGAAACCGGAGAGCCGTGGAACGCGACGAGTCCTCCCCCGGCGACGATCCGGAACGAATCCGACGAGAACCGCCGGGCGCGCGAGAAGAAGCTGTCCCGGTGGAACTGGCTCTGCCCGTACAAGTGCGTGCCGGAGGGCGAGAGCGACGAGTGCGACGGGGAGGCGAGGATCGAGTGCGGGCACGGGGGGTGCGAGGAGGGGGAGGTGTGCTGCAGGCGGGAGGAGGAGGGGACGCACGCGGTGACGCTGGGGGTGGCGGGGCCGGTGATCGTCGTCGTGGTGGGGGGGCTGCTGGCGCTGGTGTTTCGGTGAGGGGCTTGGAGGCGGAGGCCTGGGGTGGATGGACTTGGAGGCGGAGGCCTGGGGTGGATGGACTTGGAGGTGGAGGCCTGGGGTGGATGGACTTGGAGGCGGAGGCCTGGGGTGGATGGACTTGGAGGTGGATGGCTGGGGTGGATGGGCTTGGAGGTGGAGGGCCGTTCGACAGGCGGATGGGGGATGCAGGTGGATGGGCTGGACCCGTTTTCCTCTGTCTCTCTGCGAGGGCGAAGAGGTAACTGTGAGATCTCCAGCCGCGAGAGTGACGGGAAAGTGCTGTGAAAGTGCCATGAAATTGATTTTTGTTCGTCTGTTCTTCCCTGCCAAATCGTGTATCTCAATGGAAACGTCATTGCAGGATTTGCGATATTTTACTTGTCTTCAACAAATATATATTTTTCCACATTCGTTGATGTTTACATTCGAGAAACGCGATGAAGCATTTCGCTCTGCAAATACTTCTGTAAGCAGGATTGCAACTTAGATCAAGCTCCTCTTCAAAAGTAACTGACCGTGAAATACGATGAACAGGGCTGCCCTGAGGTTGCCAGGGGCTGATTGCCCCTTCTGCCCCCCCTCTGGGAGCCCTGACATTCTGGGGCGACTTCGCATGAAGTGGAAATTCCCACTTGCATTGTGGTGGGACAAGGGGTCGAAATCGTTTGACTCTGAGGACATCTACCGGATGCCAATTGAAACGACGAGAAGAACGGGTAAGGCGTCTGTGGCATCACACATCTCCGCAGTTTTTTCCATGTGGTGTCTACGTTGCATTTCTATCGTTGAGGAGTGCTTCCTGTGGTTCTCGGTTTTTTGTGGTTTGTATTCCTCAAGTGCGAGGGGATACTTGGGATCCAGGAATTTCTCGTGAGGATCCAGATTCGTTATCTCAACACGTGATGACAGAGATTTGAGTCACTGCGTCACACGCATCACTGTTTCAATATGGCGGCTCACACGAAGAGGTTGTGGCGAAGAATGGGCTCAGCTGCGCCGCATTTAACTAGATATTTGATGCGAGTAACACATTCGGTCATGGCGCGTTTGTTGTGTTGATTACGTAAATCTGATGCTAATTTTCTCCTGGAATGTCGAGAAATTGTTTTCGATGTTAGTTGTCCCATGCCTGGCCTGGGATCTGTAAGACTTCTTGATTACAGGGGATTGTCTCCCTGTCGCTAGAGTTCCCTCTGTTCTGGGGTAGTTTTGATCAGTCTTTGCTATCTGTTTCGCAATCACTCTGCAGTGCCAATTAAGTGTGTTGAACATACTCATTGTCGATGTGAGGCACAGATTGAGCTTGGGCATATGATTACCTGGGATTCCTTGATAGATTTTCTCCTATCGGGTCACATTGTCATTGATTTGGTTCCCTTCATCTTTTCTTTGAGCCCATTGCTCAAGAGTGATTAGCATGGTCTATTTTGCAAAATAGTGGGCCATTTCATCCACTAAGCAGTACAAAATCATATTCCATTAGTATGCCGTTCGTAGGCAGTGTCTATTGGCCGAGCTGGAAAGTCACTTGACTTGTGACATCTCAGTTGATGAGACCAATACTCTATAGAAGAGAGCTCGGCCTCCAAGTTGTGGCCGAGCTGGTTTTCTGAAGAGGAAAAGAATTTGTATGGTTAAGCTTAAGTCCTAAAAGATGTGTATTCTAGAGTGATAGCTTTCATCATATTACAAGTGCCATGTGCATCTTTTTCAGCAACTTCAACTGAAGAGTAACTATTAATATGCAGGATTTGACAAAATCCATAAAATCTATAGAGTTAAGGTATAGGGCTCATTCAAGGCCCTAGTTTTGTGTAGAGAAAAGAGCCCTTAATGGGTGATTTCAAAATTTGATTTCAATTTACACACGTTCCAGCATGAGACATCTTAAATTAGTCAAGTTGCATGTATTCTACTTCCTAACCCCACATGATATAAGACCTTTTAAACAACCATGACATACTACAATAATAATGAGCTGTCTAGCTTTGTGCTAATGAGGTGAAAAAGATTGCTCAAAGTCTTCCCACAAGGCAAATGAAGCAGCTTCCTCTACCTTGCAAGACATGCCTGTCTTTGATGGGCTGCAGGAAACCGTGTCCTGTTAGTAGCGATGTTAGTGATCATTATTCCCAGCTCGGCCTTTAAGCTCGGCCAATGGACACTGCCATGTTCTTATGCTATAATTCACTCGGGATGCAGTCAGTTGCTGCATGAGATCAATTTCAGATTCAGTGGGAGCATGTACAGTTGAAGGTTTGAACATTTGAGGCAATTTTCAAGTATTGCTCCAAGTACTGAAGGCATAAATGAACTTCAGTGTACCTAATTTTAAGTATTGTATCACTTCGTTTCCACTCTCCAATGGCCCGTACTATATATCTCATGGAATTCAGGTAACCTATTTCTCTCAGAGAATTAGGTTACTCACTGCTAGGCCTAGCAAGCCTATTCAGATGTTGTTTAGATGTCTATCTTTGAGCATATTTAATTGAATTGCATATCATTAGACTTTGGCATATTGCCTGGAGAAGTGTGTATTTTGCCATCCTTTTTCTTCGTCTCTACTTTCTTGAAAAATGGAATGTTTACTTAGTTCATAGGCCTTTATCCTATTTACTAATAAAAAAATATGATGTAGATTATGCCAAGGAAAACCATTTGTTTCTAAAGATTATATTACAGGCCCTCAGACAGAATTTTGGTGAAGAGTTGAATTAGGCCTGGTTGCTAAATGCTGAAATTTTCCCCCTAAGGTTTGAGAAGAAATGGCATCGATGGCCACAGATCCAATGTCGATAGATGGTGCGAGGAGCGAGGGTCAAACGGAGCACAAGAGCCTGCCGGAACAGTATGCCGAGTTGGGGCTGCCCATGCCCGAAAAGACTCAGCAGTCGTTCATATTCGGGGTCATTCGTTCGTACAATCAGGTCACGAGGGGCGAGTGGGTCTATCTGGTCGTGGCATTCCTTGGGACGTTCATTTCGTTGGGACTGACCATCCAGCGATTTGCCACATTGGAGAAAAGTAGCGATGACTACACTTTTGCCATCATCCTGTTTCTGAACACGCTTTTCTGTGCCGTGTTCGTCATTTATGGCGTGTGGAGAGAACAACCCTTCTCGTTGCTGGTCTACATCATGACCACCGTCTTGGTGCTGATGTACGTCATCATGAACTTCATGAGCGGCAATAACCCCGACATCGCAACCACCGATGGAATCATAAAACTGGTTCGGCTGATCGTGACATCCACCCTCTCGGTCTATCTCATCTTTGCCGGGCTCTTCTACGTCCACAAGTACTGCGACTCTGAGAAGTTCCTATACGACCTGATCGGGCCCGAGCCAGGCCGCAAGCGGGCATTGAAGCTCTTCTTTGCCTTCCAGTCGCTGTTGTGGTTCGACCTCCAGATTGAATTGTCCCTGGAGGTCATGGTCCTGCGTGGGGGAGTTGTGAACTTCGACTTGAAGGAAATTCTGGTACTTGTCATCGGCTCAGTTTACAGCATCATGATGCGTTACGTGGGGTATCTGGCAGCTCGCTACGAGAATCCAAAAGCGTGTGTCGTCTACGCTCTCTCGGGTCTCCTTCCCATCGGATACGTCATCTTCTTGTTTTATGACGTGGAGGAGACCCTGAATGCTTCCAGCATCATCTACAAGGTAGTTCTCTTCACTGGCAGCATGTGGCTCGGCATGAAGATCCTCCTCGTCTGGGTGCTTTACCTCTTGTATCAGCACTTTGGGATGGGTATCCGCCATTGGGTCTTTGGGGACCCAGTCATCACCGAAAGCAAGGACTACAGAACCTTTCAGAATGAGGAGGGGCCATGAAGCCCCTGACAACTGCTGCAATGTTTTTGGTGTGATTGTTTTTTTTTTGGATGATCTGTTTACCTTTCTTTTTAGTACATTTTTCAGTGATTTTTTTTCAATCCAGTTACCATTGACCTTTGCTTATTAGTAGCCAGCTCAATCCTACCAGTGTTGTGTATTGATTCTCAGCAAAACCTGGGAAAACTCAACTCATGAAAAATCACATGTATTTTTGCCTATTGTAGACTTCTCAGATGTGACACTGCTCGCTGCTTCTGACAATTAGCATTTTGTGCTGTGATACTTATTTCAGACATTCCAAGGTATTATTGTTTTATCCTATTTGCAAATGAAATAATCAATATTTCAATAAATGAAAATATTTTATTGCATATTTCAATCCAGAGATTAAAGTTGAAATGGGATTCCAACCTAATCACTTTTGAATTAAAAAAAACAAAAAAACTCAGAGTCATTCCTTCCAAACTGATGCGTGCAAGACAAGCAGAGAACAGTCCTGAGGTACGCATTCATCGCCTGAACATCTCCTTGAGGACTTTCTGGCTCCCAGTGTACCGTGCCTCATTGCGGGCAGCAGTGTCGATCCAATCCCTCCGTACCTTCTGCCATCTCTTCAGGTGCTCAGTCAAGAGGAGGGTGGGTGCTGGGGCATCCTCGCCCTGGATTGAAAAAGAGAAGGAAATGAAACCAGGTCCTTTTTTCCCCCAAACCTCAAGGCATTCCTTAACTTAGTGCATGAATGCACTTATTTACACAATAATGCAGTGCAAGTCTCTCAACAGGGTGGAGAAGAATACAAAGCAGCATGCTAAGTTTTAGCATGAAGTGGGCTGTGCACTCAAATGAGAAGACAGAGACTTCTCTTCGGGATCACTTGAGGACAAAGTCTTTGATATGAAGCAACTGGTTACAAACTGCCCAAGGCCTTTTGTTGGTCAGGTACTTTGTGACACAATATAGCAGATATCAGCAAATTTGAAGCAGTATCCTTCATACCACCATCTGAGAGAACATGAAATGTGACCAGCTGACAAGCTTCCTACAGTTTCTTCTACATATGAATAGCTCATATAAGGATAGTTTGAACAGCCCTTTAATAGTTACTTCCAACAGACTTGCATGAAACATTCTGCTACCTCTTCTGGACCACATTCTAGGTTTCTAAACATTGTCTTTAGTACATTGATGAGTTGAAAAGTCTCAAAGATTACATTAATATTTAAGAAAAGCAGGAAGCGATGTTCATCGAAATAGCCAAGAACAGAATTCAGGTGTGTATTTTGACAAGAAGCCAAAACCTGCCATAAAAAAAAATACATTCTTTAATATTGTTCTTCACAATGCCAAACCAGTTATGTGACTGTCTTGTATTAAGGCTGTAAAACAGTCACATGATGAGTTCACATTTGCGTGACACATTTTCTGAGAATGTGTTTGACACACTTGCATATTCTGGCGGCAGTGGTACCAAAATAGAGTTTATAGCTTTTGATGCAATTTCGATCAAACTGCTGCTACTACATCACATAGAATTGGAATGGAAAACTAAAATACAGTGGGACCTAACCAAGGAATTTAGAGTCCTGATATTAATTAAGTAATGGTTTCAAGGAATTTCAACTACAGGACAGAAAGCCAAACTCACTGCGCCTATGGGAATGTCCTCCACCTTGGGCTGAGGATCCCGGGGCGGGATGCGGGGCTTCTGCCCCGGCTCCAGCGGGAGGGGGGCGGGGAGCTGACTCACGGCCAGGCAGGAGTCCGACTGCTTCGACAGGGCGTCGGTCTCGGTGTCGGCAGCCACGCTCTTTCCCTCCTCCTTCAACAATACTTTTGGTTCTGCTACCTTCATGTTCGGTTCAACAGACTCCACCTGCTTGAGCCTGTTCTCTAGTGCATTGTTCAGCATCCACTCCCGGCACACCGGGTAGAGTGGGGTGGTCTCGTTGAATTTCGACAGGTCAACACTCCTGTTGAGGAAAAATTGTCACATTACAGTTTGATTCATGCAATTTCATACCATCTATCCTTTTCGAAATTGCAATAACTTGGGGAGAGCACCCATTTTTGTCTTCAAAGGGTGCACTCTTGGACGATCTCCATTGTTTCACAGTTATTGTTACTGTGCCGAAATTGGCCAGGAACAAGTGTTCTACCAAGGGCCAATTATACATCCAAGCATCACAAGGCAAATATCTCGCACGACTTACCGATCGTACAGCTTCACGACAGTGCCCATGATGCGATGGACGTAGTGGTTCTCCTGCATCCGCTGCTTCTTCTTCGGCAGGGGCGACAACGTCTCACTTGGCTCCACTCTGGCATCATCAAGCCATTATTTTCATTATTTTCCTTCCAGAACCATTCACCACTTAGAAGTGAATCAAAATATTCAATTTAGGAGGCATAAACATCAGATAGAAAAATGATGAAAATTTAAAAATTCTAAAGCAGACAAACTTGACCCTTGCAGTCTATATTTACTTGCTTTCCTGCAAATCCCCTTTCCCATGACATTGTTCTCTCTTCTCCTTGTGAGGACTGCTCACAACTTTTTGTCAAGACGCACAAGAATATAGAACGAGCATCGTGGCGACAGGATTGTGGAATATGAACCATAACTTTCATTTTCATAATGTACTTCCCAGACATCAGAAAACATCATACTTCATCGAGGATAGTCCGAACAAATGCAAGAAAAAAAAAGAGAGAGCAGAAGGACAGACGTGGTGGTGATTTCGGCCATGTAGCCCAGGGTCATCTCGCAGGGGTCCCAGAGCGTCGAGTTGCTCCCGGAGCCGTCCTTGACCTGGTTGGTCCCGGGGCTGGTCTTGACCAGCTCCTGGAGGAGGCCCTCGAGGCGGGCTCGGGGTGCCGGCGGGGAGTCCTCCTCCCCTTCTGTCAAATCCATCAACACATCCATTCACTACCGTCCAAACATGGTAAGGCTAACTGCAAAGAAATAAAAATAAATAAAAAACAAAACAAAGCCAGTGATCTATAGCACCAGTGTATGAAATAAAAAGGTTAAATACTTCAACATTTTGTGAATCCAAATATATAAAATGTCAAAAGAAATTGCCACTATCAATCACCAGGAATTGTGGACTGAAATCTTGCTATGCCACATCTAACGATCAATGCCAACACTTGCTTCAGCATTTCAGATGGTTTGAACTCTTTCTTTCAAAATGAATTAGATGCAACTAACAAAGGCGGAGCATGGCATCACTGCTGCACCGATCTTTACAGCATGTTTTCAAAGATATGGCAGGTTGCCTCTTTGTAACAACTTTTCCCCCCTCAAAAGTTCCATTTGTGTTCATCTTCGTTTCCACAAACGTCACTTCGTGCTGTGGACAAGAACACGATCAAACGACGGCTCACAGCGGCCACTTACCCTCTATTCGCATGACGTGCCCAGGCTCTCCCCGGTGGTCGAGACCTGTCCCAACACGGGCCAGAGAGTGAATTCCTACGGTTGGTAATCCAGAACCAAATTATGAAGTCAAAAGGTGGTTTAAGAAATACCCAAACAGGAAATAATAATAATAAATTTCAAATGAGTTTGAGCCGCCAAGGAAGATATGTTCCTCGCTGCATGGAAACTGCAGCAACAGCTCCTCGTAAAACCGAAGAACCACGGAAGGAAACTTGTGATGGATGAAAGACCAGTTGATTTATTATTGGCACTGTTTTGACAAAATTGGAAAATGTCAAAAGTTTGAAGAAATAGGGTGGGATCAAGTTATCTCAAGCAGAGATCTCTTTCCCTGAAATGCCCCCCCCTCCCTTCCAAATCTCATGACTAAAAAATAAAGGTTCAAAGACAAAATCTACGGAGGAGGAGGGAGGCCATCATCCCTCCCAGAAAAAAAAAATAATAATAAAAAAAAGAGCAAATAATGAGAAGGGCAACACCCCATTTTCACTCATGTGAATAGGGCCAACACTACATCAACATAGTTTGGGTTTGCTTCTACTCTTGACAGATTCAGCCACAGACCCTCCAGGCATGTTCTTGGATCCAGAGCGACACTGGGCACACAAGGAATCCTGCAAAGTGGCATCATATGCTAAAAAAAAAAAGCTTTTCATCGATTGCTTCTCTACTTCTGAACCTTACCCTTCCCAGTCGTGAGGAAAAGGGAGACCCATTAGAAAAATATATGTGAGTTACTTGGTTTGGAATAAGACATATCCTATTCAGTGACATTATTACTCTGCTCTGGAAGTACTGTCAGTCATCACTAGTCACACCATTGCTTGGATTACTTTTCAATCATCATAAATTAATGTCAATAAATGTTCCAATGTATACCGAGTTCCCCAATCACCCTGCTGCATGCAGAAGCATCACCTGGACAATAGCCACCTATGGGAATGACATCCGGCAAGGCTGGATGCCAATCCCACCTTCTTGGCCTGATTGCTCACCCATCTCAAAGTGTGGAGATCCCCTCCAGCCGCCTTCAACTCGGTCGGGCGTTCGCGGACCCGATCCGCCTTTTCCGTCCGAAAATCTCTAAGGTGAGGGGCAGACATGCTTTTCCTCGGAGTGGAAAAAGGCTCCATGGAAAGGTCTCTCTAAGGAGTCATTCTAGCCTGCAATACTTCCAAACTGTAATTGATCAGAACTTAATCCAGTCTGCAGGCTACTCTTCGCATGTGAATTAAAACTCCATGCCATCAAAAACCATTAGAAATTGTTGTCTATACGACTTGTTCTCGGCTTGGCTCCAAAGCCTTATGTCCAGGAAATGCCTCTTCATTGCATCATTTGAGATCTGCAGACTCAGCAATAAACAACTTAAATCACTTAAATCACATAAATGCTACAGTTCCAGTAATCATTCTTAATACTATGAGCAACATGGTGATGCCCATGAAAATCAAGAAACTGCCAACAAACAGTCGGTGAAAGTTATGTCGAAGTAGACGCAACTGAGACGTGAGGAAAACACGAAACGACTCGCTTAATTTCACAAAACACGACAGGCGACCCACGAAACGAGCGAAAAATTGCAACGATCAGCACAAGCACTGGGATAGAACCATCACTGGATGCACCAGTCGGACTAGTATCGGTCGCCGAAGGACGACGAGCACCAACGGATCCGCTGTCTTCTGCTTTGGGGCTCACGCCGAAAAACTTCTGGACGGGAAGCGGCAGGAGACAACAAGATGTGAGATGAGACACTCATCACATTAAATTAAAATGTGAGATGATAACATAAGACATCACGCTAATAGGGTGAGATTGAGATCCAGTCTTAGGTATAATTATTTCTACCGCGTTGTATGCGCTATTCCATTGAGTGAATCTTGAATTGGCCAGCTGATTATCCATTCACGAGTCTTAGCCTTTCAGACTTAGCAAAATACACCAGGAAGAAATGGCAAGATAAGCCATGGCAGCAAAAATTCCCAGTCCATGCATGGATGGAATTTCCATCACATCAGCAAATGTTAGAAAAATATCAGAGCAAAAATTTCCATGAATGAGTAAGTCCTACATTTTGACACCAGTTTCATTGAGCCACTGATGAAAAATTAAGATAAAGTCTAATAAGCAGAAAATAATAAAGAACATGAATCTACCTAGCTGAACATCTGCCCATGCTTACGAAATATGTTGAAAGCTTTTTTCCTTTCCATGTAAACTGATACTTAATAGAAATTATTTCCATAGTGGGCAGGGTCAGTGAGAGGGCCCAAGAGATAGAAGAAGAGGCCGAAACCGCAGAGAAAGGCCGACAGGATGCCGACCCGCATCCTCCCCTCCTGGTGCAGCACGAGGCTCACGTCGGGCAGACCCATGAGATTGCAGAAGGCGTGCGACACGAAGCAGGACGCCAGGTGTCCCGTCCGCAGGAACAGGAACGTGCAGTAGGCACCGAAGATGCACGTGTAGCCCATCTGGAACAGCGTCACGATCGACGCGCGCAGCACTGGCACGCCCTCCTGCACCAACTCGTACATGTGGTGCAGGTGAGAGATGCCAAAGAACAGCGGGGTGACAAAGATCAACTGATTCATAGTAAAACAGTCCTTGAGCAAGGGCACCAGACATGCTCGATACACGAATTCCTCGGAGAAGGGCGAGACAATGTAATTCCGGGCGAAGATCCACCCATTGTGGGCACATTCATTGAGCAGGTAATCCTTGGTGTGGTACCTGAAACAGACCACGAGGGGGCCGAGGTAAAACAAGACGAGGAGGAGCAACGGGAGGACCAGGGCCTCCGCAATGTGATCGCCTCGCAGTCCCATGTAAGTCCACAGTTCGAGGAGATTTGCAGGGCTACAGATGACCCAAAGGTACACCGGGGCAAGAGTCATTATGACGAGGACGCTGAAAAAGCGTCGCCTGATGATGCGCGGGTCGTTGCGATTCCAGCTGCCCCGCCACACGTACAGGCTCCCCACGTAGAGACCCGACAGCACGGTCCCACCGACGATCCCAGTCAGACAGCCTGTCTTCATTGTATTGACTTTCTCATAGCCAACGGAGACAGATGAAGCCTATGCAAAGGGTGACATCGTATCTCATTTGCATTGATTGCAGCAATCTCTTTAAAGAACATATGGTAGCAAATCAATTCTAAAAAACAGGAATACGACACATAAAATTTAAGCAATCGCTTTCATAAAAAAAAGACACTTGGTAAAGAATTTACAACACAATTTAAAAAAAAACTCTACCATGAGTGCATAAAAATTTCAAAAGATTAAATAAGCAAATTACACATATTACCAGGCATGAAGAGCATTAGGTAGTTGTTCACTGAAGGAATATTAGATGCACAACTCAGACTGCTGTGAAAAAAGAAAAAAAACATTACAATATAAAAGACTATTATTACGATGTGTAAAAAAAACTGATCTAATTCCTGAGCTGGAAGACTGGCACCTGCATCTTCCACCAACTGAGCTCAGAGCAGTCACATTATCACATCATGAGTGGAAAGAGACAGGACTCCCCACATGAACTCCTCAACAACATGAAATCTCAACCATACACTTTATATCAGACCACACACACCAAAGCTTCAGGATATCTGTCGTGTGACCTTAAGTCTTTCCTCTCTCAGCTGGATGATCCAGGGTATGTCCAGCAGGGGAAACTCCTTCTGCAGGGCCTCTGGGTCGACCTTGGGGAACTTCTCCAGGAGGCGGAGGACCGCCGACCTCTGACGTCGCATCCGAGCGAGGTACTTCTTGAGTCGCTTTTCACGGTAGAGCTTCAGGAAGGCCTCCACGTCCGGATTAAACTGCGTGAAGCCATAGTCCTTCCGGTAGCGGAACTTCCGGTTGATGGACGGGTAGGGTAACACTCGTGGCGGGTGGACATGCTCCAGCTTCCTGTAGAATATCACCCGACCCAACCAGTCGGTGACCCACATCCCCGGTCGCTCGCCCGACTCCCCAGTTTCGAGCAGGTGATAGGCTCGGTTGCGTTCACGCACCACCACCTCCAGGTTCTCCATGCTTTGCTCTACTTTGTCCAATCTCTCTGGATTTGGGAACAACCTGAACTCCTGCTTGCTCTCGTGCTCCATCGAGAGAAGCATGTTGCGCTCCTTAAGCAGCACAAACCACAGCTTGTGCAGGTCGGAGTTGCTCTTGATCCGGAGTTCCTCCGCCCGCCACGCACGCCCCACCCGCACCTCCGACGCACCCCAGTGCCTCGGCTCATCGAAAAACTCCATCAGACCCTTGAGTCTCGGATCGAGTTTGGGCTTCTGGTCCTCCGTCTTCTCGTCCTTGTGCTTCTCATCCTTGGGGGCCTGGTCCGAGGAAAGCCTCTTAGCAAGCGTGCTCAACGTAGGCAACACTTGCCGAGCGATGGGCAGGGAAAGGCTTCTCACTGCTGACAACATTTTTCGTCGCTTTCAGGTACCATCCAAGACCTGAGAGTCATTTCCTCCCATATTCCATATTCATGGTAGGTTCTGCACACCTTGCAATGTGAAAGAACCCTTTACTACCATCACTCTGAATTCAAAATGAGTTTTCAGCTGTGATGGAAATTGAGACATGTGTTTACAATCAGTGACATTACTTTTGAATACTCCCTTCATAGAAGTATCTCTGGTATGCGAGCTGCAAATGGTGGACAGGTACTGGCAAAGAACATCAAAGTCTGGCAAATTAATTGCACATCCCCACCCATAAACATTTGCAACAATATTGACTATTGAGACTATAGAAAGTTAAAATGCTGCCATCCAAGCTGATACATAAATATTTTAAATTGTACTCATGATTAGATGAGGGAATTGACAACAAAAGAAGGCATATTTTGCGTCACGGCAAAATGCCAAGCTGCATCTTTTCTCATGCAGCCACGCCTTATGATAATCATTGCAGTCAACCAATGAGGAAAGCAACTTTCATAATTCAAGGAATGCCTTATTTCTCACTTAAATACAATGATATGGCTCAGACCAGATCAGCATCAAATATCCGATTCCCTTGATGCGCCGAAATGCTGTCGATGCAAGATAATCTTAGAAAAATAATCTCAAGGAAGAATGCACACAGATCAGAGTATCAAATCGACTGATCACGTTCCCAATCAGCATTCATCTTCTTCATCTTCGTCTCGCACCTGGAAGAATGGAAAGACCGAGTGACCGAATGCTGCCGTCACAACAGACCTCACGTGTCGCCGAATGACTCACCGGCTGATTGGAGTCGGCGGGGGATCCTCCCCAGATGGAAGCCCAGAGGAGCAGGCTCCCGACTAGTAGCAGCACGACGTAGGACGTGTGGAGCAGGCGCGACTGGACCACGGTAAAGGAATCCTGAAGCGAAGGAAATCTTTTGAAAGTATGAGGCAGCTCCAAAAAATGGAATCTTGTTCTATAAGACATGCTTCATGAAAGCCACTGAAGAAATGCTAGGTTTGTGACTTTTCTATGTCACAGTGGAAATACTCAAGAATGTATACCATGAAATTTCAAAGGCATCAGGTTCTCAGATTAAAGGCAGAAATTTTTTTTTTTATTTTGCGACAAAATTCAGCTTCTCCGTGTATCGGCCAGCAGTGAACCCAGCAATGCCCCACAAATAGGTCTTATTTATTATCAAAAAGCCTATGTTTTTCATGGCTGCATCATTATTGCAGGGTCCTTGGCTGCTGAGTGTCATCATGAGATGCATGGCTGACTAAGGAAAAAAATCACACAATGAGCTCTGGAATAGGACTGTTACCTTCCCTCTTCAGACTTTTGCCTCAAAAGACAGCTTGATCACATGAAGCCCTGAAGGTTAAATTACAAAAGGAAGGAAATTACAAAATTAAGAAAATCTAGACAAGAACACTGCCAAAGCTGCATGCCAGAGAAGGAGAAGAAAGATTTCGAGCAGTGATTAAATTGGATCAAGCTCAAAAAAAGATCATTTACCATATTGCAGTTTGGAATCATGACAGCTTTTTATCTAAACCATAGTGACAATGTATGCTTTTCAAGAGTGTGATTTACACTGAGACTGAAAAAACACAAACCTGACATTTCACTTTTCTGTTTCATGGAGCATGAAATGAGGCAAATTCTCATTGGGCCCCTTGGTGCATGCCCTTCATTAGAATGATAACTCCGAGGGCGAAGGACTCACGAGCGGAAGGGCGGTGAGGTGGGCCGAACCTTGCACGACCGTTTCGAACAGTTTCAGCTGGGTCCCGCCGAGGCAGCTCGAGTCGAACTGCGATGCGTTCAGATGGATCGAGATAGAGTTATTTTCTCTGCAAGGCATCACAGAAAATTTCTGTAATCTTCAGTAGAAGCTGGTAATCTCGGAAAGTCACAACGAACCGAATGAGAAGAAAAATATAGATACCTCTCCGAAACATTCGAGGGAAGAACGAGCAGAGACGAATACAGAAGCACTCCCTCTAGCCCGGACACGTTGAACCGGACCCAGGCGAGGGGACCGTCGGCCGGTAGATTTGATGCTCCCGCCGGAAGGTAAATATCATGGAATGCCCCGACGAAACTCGGCTCGTGGGATGCTGAAAAATGACATTTTGAGGACCACCAAATGTCGTTTGTTACTTGTCATCATTCTTCACTTTCAGTTCTATGTAGTCCCAGTTCCAGCAGAAACGTGAAAAGGCTACATGAAAAACCACAATTAAATACAGGACACACGTGCAAAGATGGCCATTCTGTGTGCGTGCAGATAATGTTGTATGAGGCCCCCTTTCCATCAACTGCAACTGAATTTGTTTCGCATTAAATTTTTTTCTCTGACATTCCAGGTCCAGAAAGATCAACAATTAAGCAGAGCGAACCGATGAGGAATCGGAAAGAACTTTGCGGGAAAGACAACTTTCCATTTGCGCACGTGAATTCTCGTGGTTTTCATCTCAAGCTTCACTAAGCACTCGAGTTACGGAACTCACCGAGGTGACCGATGAGGTGGATTGTTCCATTTCTTATGGCACTTGTTAGAAGACTCAGGAACTGTTGGCTCAATTCGACTTGTGCGATGAACATCACAGGCTCGTCTCCGTCCGGCCGGACCCAGTCGGACACATCCTGCGGGGCCGGGCCAGCAGGCGTGGAGGAGTTCTTCCCGGCTTCCTCGAGGTGCGACGCATTTTTCGTCGAGCTTGGCGGCCTCTGAGGACTCAGGCAAACGGGCGAGTCGACCAGCTGTTCGACGACCGAGTGCAAGTCCTGAAGGGAACGGGAACCCGATGAAGCCCAGAAACGCGTTTTCGCGCTGGCGAATGGGCTAGCCGTACCTTTTGAACGGCCGATTGGCCTAACTCGGCCGACAAAGAAAAAAAAAAAAGACTGACCTCCGAAACTCCTCGTTCTTCGTAGGTGACGTGCAAGGAAAGCCCGACCAGCGCGACCGCGACGAACAAAAGGCACACCGTGAATAGGAAGATCGGCGGCTTCCTCTGCACGTAAGTCCTCGCATTCACGGCCGGATTGAATTTTCGACTCATAAGTCCCAAGCGTTTCCCTTCATTTCATTCACGCACAGATGGAAAAGCGTCCTCGCGGCTCCAAAGAATGCGGGCTGCCATATTGCGTGCTGTTGCCGGGCCCTCCAAGAGCGCCTCCCGCTTCCCGCGGGTCTCCAACCGTCACTCCCAACCTTCGGCCCGCCCAACCTGCCCAACCTCCTGCTTACCCGCGGGCCTACTAGAATGTCCCGCGGGACCTCCTGCTTACCCGCGGGCGTACTAGAACGTCCCGCGGGACCTCCTGCTTACCCGCGGGCGTACTAGAACGTCCCGCGGGACCTCCTGCTTACCCACGGGCCCACTAGAATGTTCCGCGGCACCCACAGAACGAATCCGAATCGCTGATGAATTTTAGTCCGCGCCAACCACTATTTACTTTTGGTAGTATCTTCTGATAAAATTACTTTAATTCCATCATTCTTTGAAAGCCCACTGCATTTCCTTTTATTATCAATATGAACCGAAACACGCATACTGGTGCCAGCGGCACAAGATAACGAATAACGAAACTTTAGGAAGGAACGAAGCTGAAGGCAGAATAAATTTTTTTTTTTCTGCAATGCTGCCGATTGCATGATTAATTAGATGTTGATTCCTCCGAAATTCCAAATTATGCTCTGCTTGTGTGCATGAATGAGTTCTGTATCTTCAGTAATACATGCCCCAGCGTCATCTCCCTATTGCAATTTTTAATTTATTTCACGCGGATCTTTGACTTCGCCGTCGAGCAATTCAAATGAATGATATTGTAAATTTATCATTCAAAGCTATAGAAAATGTTTCATCTCCTGGATAAGGCAAAACACAAAGTCCTCTCCTCGAAAGAAACCTGCCACAAACCCATGCATCAGATCCACGCGATTCTAATTGGTTCTTGTGTTAACCAATGACGGAGCAAACCGCGCCATTTACACTGTATCAACAGACGGCGCCGCTCTGTTTGCGCGGGGCGATGCTCCGAATCAGGCCGTGCCATTACGGATACATTCGCAGTCTGCGGATCTTCGCCGACTTCGAGAGGATGGCTCCAGTAGCGCAGCGTATTCGACCAATATTGGTCCAAAAGCCTGTGGTATTGACGGCGACGGCAGATTCAAGGAGTTTCTCGTTCGTCCACAAACTCACAAAAGGGCTACGAGAGACGGAAAGGCACGAGCCCCACACGCGACGAACGGCGGAGCGCGAGTGCAGCATCGAGCCTCCAGGGATTCAGACCCTCCGCGTGACGTCAGCAGCAGACGACGCGCCGGGGGCGGGGCCAAGCCCCAAGCACCCGGGGACATGGAGCCAGTGCGGGGCGGAGACACGTGGAGTCCCGTTGTCTCCCGTGACGCGATGAGATTCGTTGCACCCGCAGCGTCCACTCAGCGTGTCGGGGCAGTTCGAGCCCTCAGACGATGCATGTGACATCCGCCTTCCTCGCGTGCCTCCTGGGGCTCTCCGCCCCTGCGAAGGCGGCTTTCGGTTCTGCTGGCGTCAGGGAGGAACTCGGAACCCTCAAGAAAGCCTTATTCAGGTTTGTTCACGTTACGTTACGTTACGTTAGCAATACGTTATTGAATTTTCAGGCCTAGGCCTAGCAAGCCCATCCAGCTTCCACCGACCCAGGCCGAACTCGGAAGGCTCGACCGACCCTCGCGGTTCCACGAAGTCTCATTTCCGCAGACGGCTGCTCATTCGTTAATGCAGTTCCACTCTTGGCTTGTGATCTGGAGCGGGCACGGAACCAGGGGAACTTAAAAAATTTCCTTCGGATCGCTTGAATTAGAAACAGCATTCGGTTGGGGAGAAAGAGCAAAATGGAGCCAATTTCGACTCTGCATGATCCTTTGCGGGGACTGCCCCCTTTGCCATTTATATAATTGGCATGGGAGACTGTTTCACTCAGGCCTAAAAGACTGTTTCACTCATGTTTCACTCAGGCCAAGTGTTTTTCTCCGGTACAGGAGCTTAGGGATGGGCGAGGCGACCCCGGAAATCCCGGCCGGGGAGTGGCCCAACCGATGGTTCCCCCGCCCGCCGGCGGACTCCTCGAAGGAGGCGGACTCCTCGAAGGGGGCGGACTCCTCGAAGGGGGCCGCCGTTACGAGGGAGCAGTTGCGCGACGACGTCCACGGGATCAGGATGGGGGTCCCGACCTCGGCCTGCGACGACGGAAAGGTGGGCCTGTCGCGTGGGCCTGTTCGTGGGCCTGTCGTTGGTCGATGGGACTTAATATTTTTCAACATATCATGCATCAGCATCGCTTAATTCAATTAAGTTTAAAATAATCATGATTCCAAGGACAAGCTATTTCGTGCCTCAAATTGGCATGCATCCTCACTCTGCCAAAACGGCACGTCGAAGGGATTGGCATGCCTAGAAGGCAATCTAAATGCCTGGGAAACTTTCTCGATTTTTTTTTTTTTCACCAGGAGCCAGAGCAATTGAAGGCGTTGTGCGGTGCAAAAACAACTTGAAGGGTAAAATGGCAAGGATTTGACTTAAAAAAAAAAAAAACTAAACTGTTCTGAAGTGAAAAAAAAAAAACATTATTCTCATTTTATCACTGTTAATGATGGATGTCACAAGTGACTTGTTTACTACAAGTCATGGTTGGCCTTTTCAGCAGCAGTCAATGACGAGATTTTCAAAAATTGTTCCCAGGAATAACGAATAACAGGAACATTAAATATCCGAGAGCCGGCGCCAATTGGCATGCAGGCGACGTCGGCGGCTCGGGAGGAAGCATTAGGGAAATTCCCGCTCATTTGGCAGCTCTTTAGGATGCGTCGAGGGAAACGCGCCTGGTGGCAAGAAAAAAAAAATAGCTGAACACGCTCGGCCTCTTTTTTTTTTTTTTTTTTTTTTTTTTTTTTTTTAGTGCTTTATCGTCCATTGGCTTCCTGCCTGGCTCGAAAGCGGATGTTCTTCCCTTCGCGCGGGCATGACGGCAGCGCCTTTCGCGCCGTAGAAGTGGAACGCGGAGTGCATTTCAAATCGAAACTGTGAATGGAGCAAAATGCAGTCGTGCAAATTTGCCAATTTTCCCCTGCGAATTGCAAAGTATTGCGATGCCATTTCCGGGATTTTATTATTTTTTTAAATATGCTCTAAAATGTATTTGAGATATAGTTAAGTAAAGAAATACAAAAATGCCTCAAAGTATTTATTTAAAATGCGACCATTTTAGGCGCCGTCCACCTGATAATAATGATAAATAATAATAATAATAATAATAAATTTTCGAACGGTTATGATAGCCTTTGTTTCGTGCCGAAGTCGAATCGGTTGTGAAGCCGCACTCGGCGAAATGCACTTAATGGGCAAGGTCGGAAAACTGCCAACATTTTCAACAGGCGACGCACAGTTACCTTACAGGTGAAACACACAGTTACCTTACAGGTGATAGCAATCACTTTCGGGGATTTTTCCGCCTCCGAGTTTCCCCACGAACCCCGGTTAACCGCAAACCGAGACCTACACCTTTGGGACATTTTCGCACTCGCCAACTCACGCGCAACTCGCTTAAATCCACGCCCGAAACAGGTCGGCCTGGAGTTGGACTGGGACGGCTCACCCGTGAACCACACGTGCTACCACCCGAACGCGCGCTTCCCTGTGGACCCCACCGCGGCCCCGCGCCTGCTGTGCGACCAGATCCCGGCCGATTATCGCGTGAGTCCTGTTTTTTTTTTTAAGGGCAATTTTTTTTTAAAGGGCAATCCTAGCCTTTTTTTTGTTATGCGACGTTTCAGGCCAACCATTCCTGCATGGACACGCGGATCACATACAGCACGCCGGTCCCCACTTTGTGAGTTTCCACCCATGCTCGGCATGAATTGCCCTCGAATTGCCCTCGCTCGGCATGACGGCGAAACCGAATTCGTTGCAGCGGCACCCACCGCCCGCTCTGGCCCGTCTACGGAGAGTACACGTTCCTTCCGACCCAGCGGTGGCTGCACACGTTAGAGGTCAAGATTCTCACAATTTATTTCTTGCATAATAATCTATAAATTAAAGTTTTTTTTTAAATATATATATATTACCAATCCAAATAGCACGGGGGGATTGTGATGCTGTATCACCCATGCGCACACCCCGCTGAAGTGGCAAGCCTTCGATCGACAGTCACCGGATGCATTCGGAAGCACGTGATCACGCCGAGCACGCACCTGACCCCAGACGAGGTAAGCAAATTTTTTTTGCACGAAATTTTGCAAAAAATTTGCGAATTTCAGCCTCATCTGAATTTTACCCCTCAGCCCCTCGCGCTCGTCTCGTGGGGGTGCCGGCTGAGCATGCCGCACGCGGACGAGGACGCGGCGGTGGCCTTCATCCGGGGGCACGGGCTCCGCGCCCCCGAGGGGGCACTGGCGGACGACGGCCAGTTCGCGGTCGGGCTCGTCCGCGCCGCGGCGGTGCCGGAAGGATCCGACGCCCGCGACGGGCACCTCTGCCCCAACAACTTCTGAGGGCAGGGGGGATTTATTATAATAGATATTTTAAATATTTTAAATGGATTTTTTATATTTTAAATTAATATTTTTAATGGAGTCTTCATCAAACTTGACGATCTTGAATTTTAACATTTTAAATATGTTTCATGCGATGCAAGTTACAACGAAGTCAAATGTATTTCCCAGTCTCAGAAACATTCCTGTGATGTATTATCTCCTTTTTTTTTTGCACCTTGTGCATTGGAGAGTCGGTTGCTTCCACTAATTTGCCGAATGTTGAGTAGCAAAAAATGGAATTGTATAATTTAGCACAATTTATGTAATTTAGCACAATTGGTAAAATGTTGCACAATTTGTATAATATAGCACAATTGGTAAAACTTTGCACAATTTGTAAAATTTTGCACAATTTGTATGCAAAATCCGAGTCACTGGCTTCCATACCACGTCCTCCACATACGCTGTGATGGCACTGTGATTAAAATCACACATAAAAAAATAAATAAAAAATAATAAATCCCAATAAAGGAATCTGGATACTTTCATAATGTACATTTATTCACCTTTGCAAGTTGCGGAACGAGTCAAACCGCCCTCCGGACTAACTAGACATGGGCCTAACTGTTCGGCTTACACTTTTTTTTTAGTTTTTTTTTGCAAACGTGCCTCGAGTCCAATAAGGCAGTGAAGAGAAGTTACGGAACGAATCGACACTTCCCAGGAAAAAAAAAAACACTCTGCCAGACGCGAGAGTCGCCATTCGCATCCGTCGGGGGGATCCGAGCGGATGATCCAGGAGGATGATCCGAGCGGATGATCCAAGAGGAGGATGATCCAGGATGTTATTGCTTAGTGCATGATCCGATACGGTCATGGAGGAGCCTCGGCCGCGCTCCACGGGGAGGCCTCTCTCCGAACCGGTTGCTCCGCGAAGAGCAACCGGTTCTGAGAGCAACCTTTGCGCAGCGTTCAGAGGGCAACCTTTTCGCAAAACGGGCCCCGATTCGGGAATTCGGCTCGATTGCAGCGAGGCGGTCGAGGACTCTTTTTTTTTTCCTTTTTTTTTTAGCCAGTCGAGTTCTATCGGGGGAATCTAATTGCTGTTCTGTAATTAATTTGGGGTGATTAATTGTAATTAATTTTCCAGGGTGCATGAAATTTCAGCATGTTTAGATGCAATATGGGGGGGGGGGGGGAAGAAATCAACCAATGTTGTGTACAATCGGCACAAGCTAAACAGGGCGACATAATCTGCACTCGCCAATCCGGTACAAGATGTCAAGTTGGCGGAACACGCCTGCGCACAAAAGGTCCTCGCAATTGGACAAAAAAGTCTATAGATCACAGTACAAGAGTCTCTTTCATCTTTTTGTTGTTGTTGTTGTTGTTGTTGTTGTTGATGTATCTTTGGCAAATCAGCTACAAGAGAGAGCATAGGTTATGAAGGGAAGAAAGAAGGGAAAAAATCTGCATAATGGCAATATCCTATATGATAACTAGGCATCATCATCATCATAATCACCATCACCATCATCATCATCATCATCATCGTCATCATCATCATCATCAACAAGAGCCCCTATGTACAATGTTCACATGCGGAGTTCCGTATGTCCGATTGCTTTCTGGCGGGTAAGCAGGTAACAGCTCAAAAATTGGAGAAAATTGGCTCCGGGTGGCCAATCCACTCGGAATAAATATATGGCTGTTCCGCATCACCGATTCTGTGAAATCGCAACAACTATTGCTAAAGCTATCTTCACAGACCCGATTTCAACTATTTTTTTTGTCCTTGCAAATCTTTTAAATACGCGTTTCAAAAAAACCGGCAGAAGATAAAACATGCAAAAGTTGTTCAAGTACATTTTTTTTTCCCTTTATGCTTATGCTTTTAATGCTCATGCTTCAAAAAAACATGCTCGTCGTACGTAACTGTGCATGATGCGCGTATAAGTTAGCAAAAAAGACTACAACTTTCCTCCGAGTCTAACTTTGCGACCCAACTAAATTCGTCTCGAAGACCGGCCGAGTCTGGGGAGAGCGAAAGGCAAAATTTTCAGCAGGGAGAGAGAAACGGGGAGAAACGGAGAGAGAAGCCAGAAATCAGAAGCGGCTAGACCGGACGAATGAGTTCCGTTTCCAGAGCACAACCATGCACACTAGCAAAAAAGTCGTTCTTCCGTCTAGTTTCGGGTGGCGCCGGTGGACGCGGTCCTGACAGTCCTGACCGGCGGTCCTGACTGCCGGTCGCACCGGCACGACACCCGCGTCAGTCACTGGGGTCTAGAAACACAGAGCAAGTTGCATATTTTTTTGAAAAGGAAGGATAACACAGCTAAGATCTAGGGAACCTTTGCCGAGTCCTTGCTGCATGGAAGAGAAATGAAAAAAAAAAAACAATTATTAGTGTAATGCTCGGAGATTAGCACTTATGCAAACAGTGTCCTCTACATGGGTAGACCTTGACCTTGACCTTATAGCCTTATAAAAAAAAGGGCTATAAGGTCAAGCATCCATTAATGGCCACTTTATATTAGCCCCCATTCTTCTGCTACTGAAACAAGAAAGATTCAAAAGACTCTGGTTTACATCTCGGTTTATTTCATTTCTTACCATTTCAATTTCACATCTTGAAGTAGCTCCTCTTTGGTGGTAAAAATAAAAAAATCTGATTGCTACCACAAAATTCCAAATTCCAAATAAATTCCTAACTTCGGTAGCAGAAACTTAGGAATGCAATTACCTTTGCCCTCTAGGTTATGCTGGCCATTCATTCTATGGTCCCATGCTTGGTCCATTTGGTCCACATAAGCAGAATTTATAATATTTGTATGAGAAATAAATGGGATGTATAACCTTTGCCTGAAGTTAATACATTTTTTTTTTGCAAAAGAAAATATTCATTTTAAAACTTTGGCTAGTTCATGCTATTCATGTATAACTTGAGTCGCTTTAAAAGCTGAAACTACACATGAGACGCTAAGGATTGAAATAATATTTATATAATATGAACCATCAAGGTGAGAATTCCTTTAAAGTGGCCATAGGCGGGGACTCGACCCTATAAAGTATTAATATAAATAAACTATTAATGCTGCCATGACATTAATGCATTACTTCATTCCAATGTTGATCAGTATTTTAAGTCATCTTCAATTGAGGCTTGCACATATAGCACCAAGTGCAAAAAAAAAAGCCCTAAAACATTTGCTAAGCATGTCATTTTAATGGTAAGGTAAGTTTGTAACTTCTCAGTATGCATTGTGCAATAGATGTTACATGTTTACAATTCTGCCCCATCCAAAGTTGTCAAACAAAAATGTTCCTTGACATATATCCTGCAGGCAACAGCATCCCATTCCTTAAACCTGCTTTATACCCCATCAAAAAAAATTACATAATTTACCTTAAATTAATTTATGCACAGAAATGTTATTTTTGATTGATGTCAGGTGAGAGAGCATGAACTACAGGTTCTCCATGAAGTGACTATGAACATTTTCTGAGATATCTGAGGTGTGACATCACTCAGAGGTCTATAGACAATCAGTTCACAAATATATGTGGTTAAGATTCAAAAATAAATATTTAAAAATGTCCAGTCAGTTCAAAGGTACCATGTATATCCAGAAAATCTACAGACTTTCACAACCAAGAAATAAATTAAACTTCTTATGTGTGATGAAAAAACTGCTCAAGCACTCCAATTAAAATTCATAATTGGAAGACCCAATGTCGACGAGGGAAAGAGTCAACAGTGTCGAGCTCACCTATTCGCCTATTCCAAAATACCCTCCTATGGTGGAAACAAGTATTATGACAAGGATCCCGAGGCAGATGAGAATGATGATTTTCTTCTGCAGGCGGCCACGCAGCATGAATGGAAACGATCGGTATCAGTGTCGATGCTCGCAGATGATTCAGCATATTGGTCAACTTTTTTTCATGCAAGATACTTGGAAACTGCTTCAGGCAAAACCAATAAGATTTTTCGTTCGAGCAGAGATGAGATTTTTGGTTTCATAAATATTTATTTTGTCTGAAGCAGCCTCCAAGAATGCAAAATAAAAAAAGCAAAAAAAAAAAACTACCAGCATGTACGATGTAACAGGCACTTCCTTAGAGGTGAATTTGAATGCCTCAAAATCAATGTAGCACTTATGAATCAAGCTATTACTCAAAGAAAACCTGGCACTATTTCTCAACTGCAAATAATAAATATATCTTTCATATATTGCTATTTCAAATGCACAAAGTACAAGACGGACCAGCATCATACAGTGTGCGGTCGGCTTCGACGGCTCAACCGCCATGCACCATGCTACAGGCATGCAACGGCAATAAAAACAAAGAGTGAAAATTTGTGTGTCGTGTCTTGGGGTCTTCCTGAGGGAAGGGGAAAAGGGAGCGAGAACGGGGGGAGTCCGCTTCCGAAAAACCACTCGGTGTGGCTGTATCTGTTCAGAGAGAAACATGGCTCTACAATCTATATATAGATATATATATGTATATATATATCTCTTTATTAATAAATTTTCTTCTTATCGGCTTCTTCTGACAAGGACACTTCTATACCCTCCGTGAATGATGACGAGGCAATCATTCCATCACCTTCAGATCTTGCACTCTAGAAAATGGTGAAGAAAATTCCCTGGAGACGATTCAGAGGAATGTTCATGATTTGTAAGATGCGAAATACACAAAGATTGGCAAAAACCATGAATTGATATGGAGGGCAGTGGAAGGTGAGCACAATTTGAAAACCTTCTACTGAAATCATTTATTTTTTACTAGCAAATTATAGAGAAACTCATTAGACCCCAACAAAATTTTGATCATTTTGATTGCAAATTCACTTTAATTTCCATATCCTCTAAGCAAGTAATTATAATAATGAAGTTTCTTCATGCATGTGGTCAGCTTATGAATGAAATTGTAATATTTCTTGGTTCGTAAGCACACAATGTACACTAGCATCTTATCTGGCTCTGATTAAAGTTGCTTTAAATTCAAAACTAACTCACAGATGGAAGAAATTTTTATAATTTCAAATTCAATCATGGGTACATGTCTCATAAAGAACTTCCATGTCAAGCAAAAAAATAATAATTACTTTGACTAACCCGTCACATTCCTTGAAGACCGTTTTTATACATGGACCCAAACACAGGCCGTTACAAAAAATTAAGTATTTTTTTGGCAAACTTTGCTCCCTGTTTAAGATGATGCAAACAATTCATGTACTCTCAAAAAAAGTTGACTCGTGAGTCTCGATGGAACTAAGTTATGGAGAACCTGCAAAATCGATAGATGCTCACCTCCCCCAATACGATAGACATAATGACCAGGGCCAAGGGAGAGAAAAAAAAAAAGGAATTGAAGAAAAAAGTACAAGGACAAAATTCTACAGAATGTCAATCCATACATAAAGTAGGCTCAAACGAGCAGTCCACCGTCTTTTCCCAAAACGCTTTGGACTAGAAACAACTTGCCACCACACCAAACGATGTGTTGCTCTGCAATGCACCGCCACAAAAAACAAAATGTCTGCAGATACCAGTCCACACACTTCACATTTCTCTAGGGGGGGGGGGGGAAGAATCATACAAAGAGGAATATCATTGGCTGGGGCAGACAATCTGAGTATTTGCAGATCACAAGAGATGCGGCAAATCCACACTGCTGATCAAAATGTGATGTTCGAAGCTCCTTGAGCAATATTGGTCAGTCATGATGTAGATCAAGTATGGCAGGCTCTACCAGTTTAAGGAAGATGGTATTACCAATTACACATTGAGATAACTAAGTATTTTTGCAGTACTTGGGGCGATCAGCACATAAGGGGGTGGCACAGGAAATCAAGGTTGAGAGGTGGTGCAGAGGGATCAAGGTGAAGAGGTGGTGCAGAGGTATCAAGGTGGACATGCAGTGGCAAGGATCTAGGAAGATGGCAAGGGATGTCTTAGGTGAGGATAATTACAATGACCTTGATGAGGATGATCACTGCCACCATGATGCATATCACAAAATAGAGCTTCTGTTCGAACACAGAAAAGTCTTAAATCACTGAAATTCTACAGGTTTCTCATTGCATATTCCTACTATCTCCAAAGGACATACCAAAATTTACAAATCTATTCCTCGAGACCTAGCCCAAATCCGGCTCTCGATGCCACGGGAGCGGCAACCAGGAAGAACGAGCAATTTTGGCATCTGGGCCATGTTTACATCTCTCATCACAGTTTGAGGGTAGTAAGCACAGGCACCAATATAAGAGGAAATTCTAAAACGGAAATTTCGATGCAAACAGCAACAAAATATCGTAGAAAACCCCATATTCTTGACTACATAATATTTAAATCAGGTTTCCCTCCGCAAAAATTGTCATATACGGTTGTGCTTGGTTGCATTCGAATGCAAAGAACCACAAACAAGAATTCCTGAGTTCCAGGCAACTCAAGATAAACTTGATAGGATGTAACTGAGGCACTTTTGGGAGAACAATCTGAAGCAATGGCTTCAGACACCAAACATGAATGAATGAGATCTCACGCCAAAAAAAAAAAAAACCCACGGACACCGATATGCAGCAGAACAAAAAATAAAAAAACACAGATGATCCATCAATTCAAGGGTAATGGAGAGGAAGTATAAATATGCCACATGGGTTCAGGTTTTCAGGACCGATGCAGCCCGAGGTACCAGAGCGCATCACATAAAAACCAATGGTGTATCCAACAAAAGAACGATGGGGGATGCAGCTCGTTCACACAGCAGAAAAACGGGTTGGGATCCGGGGGTCAGAGGCATTCCTAGAGTCAGTGACACGCACCTCACCCCCCCCCCTTCACCGAGAAGTATATTACGAGAACTAAGATCACCAGGAGCAACAGAAGGCAGATGATAATCATGATCTTCTTCTGCAACAGAGAAATGGGAAATAGAGATGTATATGCAAACATGTCAATGTTGACCGTAAATTTCAAGATCATAAATATGGCATATCATACTCTCCCATAAAAGTACTTTGAACTCAAACGTAATGGATGGACATAACCCTTTGACTGGCATGGGTGTCTCAAGACAACTTAGAATTTTTGTCTGTATTCTAGCATGGGCATCTCAAGTCACTTATCTCTATATTACGGCCCCTGCCATTTGTCAGGGAACAGATCAACATAGAGCACATACTTTGAGATTTCAAGTAACCCACCAAACCTGCAATTGATTTAAAACTGCAAGTAATCAATACCTAGAACTACAGTACCAAAAGCAAAAAGGGCATGAAAGAGGATAGTTTGTCTGAGAGATCAGAATATTGTCTATGTGACAGTGTCAGATAGTGATAGTGATGGAGATGATTTTATGATCGATTTAAGTGATGATGCAGATGATGCACATTCTGAAGAAAGTAGTGATGAGAGCTGAGATGAAAGCAACAGTGACAATAGTGACCTTGATCAATCAGCTGATTCCTCTCCCAACTGGTTCACGTGGACCAGCAAGGACACACCACCTAAACTGATTGATTTCACTGGCAATCCAGGATTGCAGATGGAAATATCCTGAGCCAGATGATGAAGATAAGATTACCCATCTCCAAGGGAAGGTAAAAAAAAGTTCATTACATCATTTTGTGTGAAAAGCAAACCAAGAACTGAAACCCAAAGTAAGTGCTCTTTGTCATATGTGGGTAAATTTAGCTGCCAGTTAAAGTTAGAGGGATTAAAATTTTAATCAACTGCCAGTGAAAGGGTTCAGAAACATGAAGTTCATCCTCCATTTACAAGAGGCCCAAACTTTCCATAACTTGAAGACAATTTTTAAAGAAAATTTACATAACATATTCATATGCTGTAGCATACATACATCAGTTTAGGACAACAAAGATGAGCATCATTCATCATATAAACTTAGGTTACAGGAGTGATTGAACAAACTTTCTTTAGCTAAAATTGGCACCAGTTTCCTCTTCAGCCAATTTAATGGATCAATGGAGTGATTACCAAGAACAGTATTCAAACCTATCTACCCATTGTAATAGCAAATCCTGCACAGGTAAAAGTTATGTACAGAATGGTGAAAGAGGACAGGGGTGAAGCATGAAACATTAGCAAGGGCATACCTGTCGTGCTTTGCTCTGATATTGGACGGCCTTCTTTGTATCCTTTTTGGCCGACTCCACGTAGTCGACGGCCTGGGAGACGTGAAATTCGATCCGGTCCACCATTTCCCCCTGCAGTTCACAACAGGTGGAGAGGGAGGGGGGAAAGGAGAGCAGAGGGGGGAAGGGAAAGGGAAATGGAGCCAAACGGGAAGAGGCACAAATAAAAAAAGAAAGTGAAGCGTACGAGAACCAAAAATCTGAAGCCATTCAAAAGAAAGCACTAAGAACAAAATAAGAAATGATGAAGTTCTAAAATATCTATGGAGGCAAACTGGTCCAGGTCTACATAGGAGGATTCCCAAGGACATGCAGGCAGCACCAAGGGCCCATCTCGCACACTTACCCGTCTCGCTTTACTCTGGTATTTGAGGGCCTTTTTGGTGTCCTGGGTGGCGGTTTGGACGTAGTCTACCGCATGCTCGACATGGTACTCTATGCGATCTATCATCTCTCCCTATTTAAGTACCATGTGGCAGGGCAGCATGTCCAGCAGAGATTCATATCATTAACATTTTCCACACACGAACACATCACAAAAAGTTTCCATTGGTTCAGATCAGCATCATTCATGAAATCAGAAATGCTGAAAGATATATATGATGAATCCCTGAACAAAAGGCAACAGCTCTGAGCTGCCACTGTTATGAGATGGTGAACTGATCTGACCAAAGATACAAGTGCCTAACTAAACTATAGTCTAAAGCACAAAGCTAGTCCTTCCCATAAATCCTATATGACAATCTTCCTCTGACATCCTTCACAACTAATGAATGGCAAGCAATAGGAGAACAATTCCTGTGTGATGTAACTATAACTTGATTCCAGAATATCAGCTGAGGCTCTCATTTCTCCCTCCCAGATACATCATAAGCTGTGCCAGAGTACATGTCACTCTGGACTGTTGATTTTTGTGTAACAAAGCCACTTGGCTGCTTCCGTGATCATTCCTAAGAGATGGACTTCAGGCAGGAAAGTAGTTTACAGGAGTTTTTTCAAAATGGGAAGGGAAAGGGTGCATGAAAGACTAAACATCGGAAGGTTGTTGCACAATAAATCCAGTGTGCATCAACACACATGAGGGGCTCTCCCACCAAGGCCAGACATGCAAGAGGCACCAAAGGCTCTATTGTCCCCAACCCCCATCCGAAGGGAACGACGTATACACGAGCCTGGTTGGTGCCCACGATGGGAGATTGAACTAAATCCACAGCCTCTGATTGCCCTCCTGCATTCCCTTTTTTGAACCAATACACTTCATGAAATGTCTCCAATGGTATTAATATTCATAAAGAAGCCTTCCCAAAGATTACAACTGTCACTATAAGGAGGACATGAGATAGCCTGACATTGAAGTTAAGTATAACTCAAGTGGACCATTCATTTATTCTCAGGTCCATTCCAACATGACCATTTTATATTTAGAAGGGGTGGCAGATAGGAACAGGTAGGAGAAAGGAGACAGAGGGAAAAATTACACGCAAAATCGGCAGGCAATCGCACGACGAATCCACAGCGTGCATCAATGGAGGGCTGTAACTCTCCCACCAAGCCCCACACATGCAGGTGGCACCACACCTCCTTCCTTCCCACTCACCCGTCTGGATTTCCTCCGGAAGGTTGTGGCATCTCTGGTTTTGTCAGCAGCGTTTCCGACATACTCCACGGCGTGCTCGACGTGATATTGTATGTTATCTATTGTTGTTCCCTGTACCAGGTATCGTGTTAGGGAGCCGTAAATCCAGCAGAGGTTCACATCATTAACATTTCCACATAAGAACACATCACAAACTGCCTCCAATACTTGACAGCACCATAAAAATTTTAAATCAACAGAGTTTGGCAGAGACATGCATCTTCCACTTGATGCACTGGTGCAATGATAATAGGATGCATCATATTAAAAAATGATGGCATACATTCCCTGACTTTGCTCTCACTACTCCACCTCTCAAGGCTCCTGTCATCCCTGCCCCCTCTCACAGTTGCTCCATCACATATCAGGAAAGAAAGAAAGATGCAAATCCCCAAATTTTTTCACATGAATCTGTAATTTGCCTACATTTTGAACTTGATGGTTTTGGAACCCATACCATTCAAGAGGGAGAGAAAATGCACATCAATTCACTTTTGGAAACTGGAAATAGCTGCAATTTGAAAAGGCTACATTGAATTACAAGCTATAAAAGAGACAGACAATAAGGCAGAATGAGAACTTGTCTCGCTAAGTGCACATCTCTTCCCTCTTTCATGATACCAGATCTGATCATAAATTACTTTTGAAATGAAAGCATGCTACATGAACAAAGAGAAAATATTGCAGAGACTACAAGTTGAGTGCTTTTCTTCATGCCTATGTAAATGAAATCGATATATTCAAGTTCCCCACTACACAAGTGTCCTACTCCACAGCAGAACACTACTATATACCCTCTATAACATCATTTCCTTGAACATGCATCCATATATACAAAACCAGTGCAACAAGTGGAACATGCCCATAATTTTGCAGCAAAGGTAATAAGCAATACCTGAAAAATTCTGAGTTTGGCAGTTTAACATGTTGACTGCCCACGTCCAGCTAAGCAGTCATCAACGGCAGCAGAACCAATAGAATATCGGTTGGGATAGGCAGTCAATGTGCTAAGAAAATCCACTTGAACAAGAAATCTGTTGGCTTGATATGGGTCACAGGGGACAACGGGGCCCATCTCATGTTGGGTATTGAAAGACATCAAAATTCATGGCCTCGGTCGAGACACTGAGCCATGGGCCGACCCTAACGCTATCTGTGTTCTCTACCCTGTGCAGCAGAAATGCGAAGACCACGGATAAATGAATGCATTTCCCACGACAGAGTCGTTGACCGTGTCCTCGAAAACCAGCGACGAATCGACCTCAGATGAATGATGAAATCTGCAAAGTGTTCACCCTTCCCAAGCATAATTAATCCTTGTTTCCTTGCAGTAACATTGGCAAAAAGGCCCAAAAATAACTCTTCAAGCAGTGACTTTGAAGAGACCAAATTCTAAAAAGCAAAAAACCAGCAATATTAGAGAGACCCCCAAAGTTAAGCTCCCCAAGACCAGTTACTGTCAAGCCCTTCCAAGCGAGTGGGAACAAATGAGGACAAATGAGAGCCCTAAAAGAGAGCACCCGGAGTCAGAGTGACGTACGGAAGGGGAATCTCTTCCTGGCAGCCAGGAAATTGTTGTAGCACTACCATTATTTTAGATTCCCAGCCGTCACTACCATCTTTGCTGAAGAGCACCAGGGACTGGCAGGCAATAATAGAGACAAAGAAAGTTGATGAATATCTGCAAAGGCTGGTAATTGACCAGTGCTATATCTTGACTCAAAATGCAGCTCTAATACATATGTTTGGGATGACCATACTTTTCTTCCACACATGAGACAAAATATTAATCAAATTTTTTGCCTGATTGCCCCTGAAATATAAAACCCTGACTTAATGCATTTTGATACTGTTTCTCTTCAGTTTCACTTATTAGTTGGCCATCGGTTGAAAGATTGAATGTTGTAGGTTGGACTGAACTAAACTATCCCAAATACCAATTAATGTGTTCAGAGCCAGACTGAAATGCAACCTGGACGGCACACTCGGAATGCCTTTCAGAATGGTGAGAAATTCCACACCTTAAGTACTTCAGGCTTGACACTGCAACCTGAAACCTTCAAGTGATCATTCCAGAAATGTCAGGTCTGCTTTCATAGCCTCACAGAAGGAAGTGCGCGTAAAGAATCGTCATCCGTGATTTATGGGAAGGACTAGGTTCAAGCTGGAAAAAAAGCATTTCAATCAAGCATCTATTCAATTCATTCAGTGAATCAACATTTCAGCATTGTCAATGCTTCTCTCCTCATAGGAAGAATGGATTACAGTATTTTGCAGTATAGCCATTACATTTCTACCAGGTAAGATGCTGTTCCTCATATTTGGAGTCACGCCTCATCAATGGTGTGGCATGCCAAAATGTTGCCAGGAACAGATTTAATATTGTCCATGTTTGCCTCAAAGTTATAACGAGACAGTACTTTCTATTTTCCATTTACCATTGGTTTACACTTGAATGGAATGGCATTCACTTCCTTGCCTTTTTTTTGGCAATATCCAAATAAGGAAGAATATGTGGAAAATGCAAAGACTGACCTGACTCTCGACGAGCATGGCCATGTCCATAAACATGTCATGGAGCTCCTTGATGGATGTCTCCAACTTGATGATGTCGGCATGTCGGGCTTCGATGTCGGCCAACGTCTGCTTCATCTGCTGCGTGTCCATGATGATCTGCAATGGGAAACAAACAAATCCAACAATCAATTAGGTCTGGCTAGCTGATATTGTACAAACCAGCTCATAAAAAACCCTGATGACACTGGAAGAAACACTGAGGGAAAGCAGCTCCTCTTTTCTATAAGTGAAGTATACCAGCAGAATATTACTTACCACTCAATAACCTCAACTGGACCCTCCACTGACTACCAACAAGGACCTTCTTTCACATCTAAGAACTCAAAGACTTCTCTGAATTTAAATGAATCCTCTGATTCAACCCCAACCCAAAAAAATTTCAGCAAAAGAACTCACTCCTTGCGTGAACACCTCAGCATTCCCCGTATCCAGCATCTCCTCTAACTGGGTGTCATCAATAGTCTTCCCAGCTACAAGAGAAACGACGCCTTTGGTAAGGCTGCTAACGACAGCAAGACACTGCCACGTGAGGATGCACTGACTGATTTCGATCTGGCGCTTGATGCGGTTTTTACACCGCTCGCGGTAGTCGGTCTGGGTTCGGTTGTACTCTTTCATCACCTCGACGAACTTCCTCGAGAGGGTCGAGTGCTGGGTCTTGCGGATCCGCACGTCCGCCGACGTGCTCTTGGCGTGTTCCTCCTGCTCAATGTTCTGCTCCATTTCTGCATGGTAAAAACCACAAGTCATCACATATTCCTATCAGCATTTGAGCCACAAATTAAGAGGTGCCTGATGACTGTCAAGACTCAATGTGAGAACATGCTGGCAAAAAAGAACATCCATGACTTTTTCAAATGCTGATCATGGAAAACTTTACTTCCTTTCAAATACCTTTGATATCATAGTAGAAATGTTAACTGTCTTCTGCAAAACAAAATAGCTATATCCTCATGATGCCCAAAGACTAGCACAGTAGCTCCAAGGCAATAGTCAGCTTCAAGCTAGACTTGGAAATGACAATAATTTCAGTTCACACCATAAGAGACGGATTTTAAAAAACAGAATACAAGTTTTCTGAAACTAGCAAAACACCATTAGGGTAACCATATCCCACACCTGAATAATAATAATAAATGAAGTGTCACAAATGTGGCATGTAGGTGTTAAGGGGTGAGAGACAAAGCAACCTAATGTAGTTTGAATGGAAAATAAACCAATATGGTAGGTAGAAAGATGCTACTCAGAACTCCCTAATGTTATTGAATCATCTGAACACGCCAAGATAAACGTGGTCTGATTGAGTGTGGCGAAAGCCATGCTCATCATGTGACTAGGGGCCAGATGAGCTGAGCTGCCATCAGCAGGCATGTAACTGTGACAACCAATATCATTAATCATATTATAATTAACTGATAATTAAACAGGTCAGATATTCTTTGCTTACAAACCCCTTTCAAAATCTGCAGCATTTGCTCAATTTCAGGATAAAATAACAATCCAGAAACAAGACACAACAGTCAATTACCACTTTCGGCATGGTAGTAAAAAAATGCCAACCATCAAGAGGAATTTCTACAATCCGGCACAGAGACATATGCAGAACTCACCTTTTAACTTGGCCCGCACTTTGTTGGCAGTCTTCTTGATCTCGTCCATGAGATCCTCCAGCTCCTGCTTCACCCCTGAAAATTATTAAAGATGCCTTCAACTCATATGTTAAATTAATATAAATGTAAAACATGAAAGACTTCATCACAGTGATGCTATGAAGCCACCTTTCATATTGGCTATTCATGTTGGCTATTTGTGTTGGCTGTTCATGACGGCTATTCGTGTTGGCTGTTCATGTTGGCTATTCGTGTTGGCTGTTCATGTTGGCTATTCGTGTTGGCTGTTCATGTTATGCTGCCATGTAGCACCAATCCACCGGCCAACTGCAATCAATACCTCCCCATGTATTATGCATCCATTACTCGCCTCTCCCGCGTCCTTCGCCCATTCAGATGCAAATCCGCGGATGCGACGAACCGGCTTCTCCCCCGCGATGTCTCGCTTTGCCCCATCCGAGCGCAATGGCACGTAATCCTTCCCGCGAGCATGCTTACAAAATTAAGATCGGCTTCTTCCCGTTCACCGGCTCACGTCCATACAATGAATAACATCAAGCTAAAAATTCAGCACGTGGTCTGATTGAGTGTGGCGAAAGCCATGCTCATCATGTGACTAGGGGCCAGATGAGCTGAGCTGCCATCAGCAGGCATGTAACTGTGACAACCAATATCATTAATCATATTATAATTAACTGA